TCTAACGCTTTCAGAGAAATAGATTAATATTTGTTAGGGGAGTATCAGTTAAGAATCAGAACGAATGAATTTCTTTAATTGAGTCACGTGACAATATATGTGGACGAATGATGATCAAGAATCTCTCGAAGAAGTAACTCCTTGGAAGACTAATACTTTCAGAGAGCTAGATTAATATTTAGAGGAGTATCAGTTGGGAATAATAACGAACAAATTTCTTTCGAACTGTTTACATCTTTTGGCCGAAAGATTTTGCGAATATCGATCTCGAGAGCTGGAGCTTCTCCTTCGTCTTCCCCTCGTTTTTCATCGTCTTCCTCTTTTCCCCGTGCAGTTCCGGTTCTAGCAGCTGTCGTCGATTCAAGATTGGGACTTCGAATCGGTCAAGGGTAGGCCTCTGGCTGTGTAACGCTACCTTCGTACGACGAACCGGTTTAATGCCGGGGTGAAAGAGAGATTTGGAGGGAAAGAGTTGGCGCAAAAAATTCATTTGAATCACCGGAGGGTCGGGTAGAGGTGTCGAAATAATTGGATTTTAATTTTCGCGCCGATGAAAGAACAAAAAACCACTCCTTCTCGCTGCTGCTTGCCTGTGTACATATACTCCTCCCTCCGGACCGAGAACCATGAGAACCGCTCTCTGACGAGTGTTTATACAACGTTGCAACGCATTAATGTTTTCGACTTTCCATTTTACTTCGCGCCCTCTGTTTTCCCACGATTCGCACCATCGTTTGCTTCGATCACGAGCTACCTTCGCAATCGTCATATGATCGACTAGCTGCCACGATTTCACCCCCGTGGAATACTATTCTTATTCACGTAGATGCTATAGTTACTGTAGTGAAAAACAGTCACCCATCTTGTGTTGCACACCTCGGAAAGCTTATCTTAAACATGAGTTATGCGACAATACAGTCTCAATGATTTTAGAGCGTTGGCTTAACAATTACTGCAGTGTTTATGTAGATATGTAATTAGGTACTTCGTAACAGATGAACGCTTTTAACTAGGTGTAGAGTAAAGATAGATTTTTAAATGTAAATGTTAATGACGAATTCAGTCGTGTAATGAATGACTATTTCTCTGTTAATGATTTTCATTTTTCATTATTTCCTAAACTATGCGAACAAATAACATGCTGTAAAGGGCAAATTTGATCTTCATGAAATTTCCCAGATGATAAAATGATTCTTTTTTATAAAGATTAATATATTATACCTAATAAGTACCCTTAAAGTTCACCTTATAATTTTCAATTCATTTTTAACACAAAAAACGTTATTGCGGTCTAAATATAAAAGCTAGATATATCGTATCACTGACTTCTTTTTAGATCTATTAATAACCGATATTTTTGTATTACATTATTTTCACGTATATCCAACCAGTTGGTCAGCGTACACCGATAAAGCCAAGCGACGCTTTTCTTCCAACTTGTCAACAAATTTTCAGATTTCAAATTGAAAACGTATTTTTATCAAAATAAAACATGGCTTATGTTACTCAGGGATAGTGTAGCCTTCTATTACTAAAAAAATATTTTAAATCGGTTTAGTAGTTTCGGAGATTTACATAACTTTCTGAGAAACGATAAGTTCAATTTTAATCATTTATTTGTCAAATTTGGTAAAAAAAATTTATAGTAGCATTTCAACATAACCTGTCGAGAAAGAATAACTTGAACGCGTTAGACATATTCAAGTATCACTCCACGTGTTTTTCAAAATAAAGTGACTGGAATTTTACAAGTAAATTTTCAAATCCGATGAAATTGTTCGAGAAGATTCCGTAATAATTCATATAATATAAACGAAAAAGCGCAAAGACTAGTGGAACGACGTAGTACATCTTCATTTATATAATTATTCGAACACTTCTAATTATATTTCACGTAGTACATTTGCGCGATTTTCCATCTGTGAAAACCAATCCCCTAATTTTGTACGAAACCTTTGTCACAATTAAAACGTGCGGGGTTATTAATAACAAACGAATACGAGTTTGTGATCAAGCAGAGGGAGAAATGATTCGTTTGTATAATTATTACACAGTTAAAGATGAAATATGACGCAAACAGAAATGTACGATAGTAATCAATTCTCAAAGTATTAAATTATATTTGTTTACGATACATTATTTCAGTGCACTTATTAATGATATCGAGGTATTTGTTATATTTGTTCCTTCCTATTAAGCTTCAAAGAATTCTTACCGTAAAATGCCAGTGGTTTGACATTTATTATTTGAATAATTATACTTTTCGCAATTCTTTTACGATATTAGGTAGTTTTACAAGCATTTTTGAGTATTTAAGTGTGTAAATTTTTGGCTCGATGTAAATGCACATAAACATAGCGATAGCAGAGCGAAGTACAGGTCCATTGACACATCATATTCGATTTTCTACCAATTGTTTAAAATTATTTTTTATATGATTTCTATTTGTTAGTTAAAAACAAATGTATGAATAATACATGTTGGATATATTCCACTCCAAAAAGAATGTTTGTATTAATTTAAGCAAATAAAATCAGGCGAATTTCGAAAAATTATTACAGTACATATACTCCTCCGGGGAGGAGTACTAAAAAATTAGCTGTCTGATTTCGATAGATTGTATTATTTATAGAAAGAATCGTACAAATGAATGATTAATATTTTTACGTGCATCTGTTTATATTTTCCTTTAATATTTTTTACTTTATTTAATTTACTCAAACAAGTATATGGAGAGATTTGCAAAATAACTAGGTACACGAAATCCTAACTTTAAACAGTTAATAACAATGTTTGGCGCTTGGAACAACAGTTAAGTACTATATCATTGCTCTTATTTCTAACGAGTATTGAATGTGATGAACCAAGTATCAACCTTGACGTAATTGGTAGGTGTCGAGCAGATAGATGTCTCTATGAGTATCAAATCGTTCGAAAACATTTCTTAGAATGGCACGACAGAAGAATATCACTTTCAAATGGAAATGTACCGTGAGTATCAAAATAAGTCTCGATCTCAAGAATATCAACTGTATGAGATGAACTATTGAAATTCCAATCCTGAAAAGTCTTATTATCTGTGTTTGCCGATCTACTAAAGATCGAATACAATAAGCCTTAATTGCACTCACGATCAACCGCACAATTCATTAGATTCTAATATTAAACAAACTATCGATCATTTTTAACGTTAAGTGTCATTTCATTGCTTTCGCTTCTACTGAATAATAACTATGTAATACAAGTATTAAACTTGATGTAATCGATATGAATCGAAGCGGTAGACGTATCGATGAGTTCTCCAGATTGTTAAATAACATTTTTCAGAATATCATGACAGCAAAACAAGTCCCAGTCTCTTAAATACGATCAACTGTGCACAGTTGTATTCGAACGAGTCTCAATTCACTGATAACGATCGATTGCACAATTCATCCGATTCTAATCTCAATAAATGATTAGTTGCTTTTAATGCTGAGCGTTATTCCATTGCTTTTACTTCAATTGAATTATAACCACGTAATGTGAGTATTAAAATTGATGTAATCGATAGGTATCGAGAGGATAGGTGTCTCGACGAGTTTCAGAGCGTTCCAAGACATTTCTTCGATGGTATCCTTTCAAAACGTAATTGTATCGATGGTAGGAACGCGTGCGTCGCGGTTAACGCCGGTCGAACGTTTTCGCGAAGGCGATAAAGACGAGAAAGCTCGTCGTTCGTTACGTTTTGTCCCTCTAGATGGGGATGCTCGGCCGGGACGGATACAAAGGAAGCGAATGTTTTAATTAAATCTCGGCAAAACGCGAAAACTTCGCCATCGCGAGGCGTTTTTGCGATTTTCCGAAAGTTTCGGCTCGGCTCGCGACTCGCTTTCAAGGTGGCGATGGACGAGCACGCGGGGGGTGAAACCGCGCTCAACCACCTCGTTTCCACCGTTCCATTCATCCCCCCTAACGGACAGCGGACGGAATAAAAGAAGTCGGAAAAACAAAAGAGCGGCACGACTACTTAACGAAACAAATTGTTGCTTCGTACTCGGGAGGAGAATTTAAAAGTTTTCCGTTGCTTCTTCTTTTTACTCCTCGCTCCCCCCCCCCCCCTCGAGTTTCTTTTCCTCTCCCCCGGGTTGTAGTCGTTGACTACGGTTTCGCGTCTGTCTCCGTTTCACCGCGGACATCTCGGTTGCTTCGAGTCGAGCGATAGTCCGAGAGTCGATTCACGGCTCGTTAGCGATGCCGCTTCCTTTCCCCTCATTTCGGTTCTGGCTCGTAAAAGGACAACGCCATATACGCGCGGACTCGAGTACTATCGATCGTGACGGACTGTCCCATTAAATCGGTTGCGTCGTGCGTGGAATACGCGTATGGAACAATTAAACGCGGTATTGTCTCGCGAGCTGCCAAGGTACCGTTGCTCGGGACGCCGAACCTAGGTCGTTTACCTGCCGCGAAAATTTTCTCCGCGTGGTTCCTCTTTCCTTAGATCGATTTCGAACCGCCGTGTTGGTTGGCGGTCGTCTGTTCGACCGATCGAAACGAGAGCAGGCTACGCTCGATCGTCGACAGTCTTACGTTAAGAGTAACAAACATCATACAGAAGCACATACACGCACGTAGAGCATGCCAGCGGTGGGGGAAAAATACTACAACGAAAAATGAAAAAAAAGAAACACATGTATGCGACTAGAAAACGCTAGCGAGACGGTGCATCCTCGCTAAGGAAGAGAACTGAAATCGTAACGAACCAAGGATCTCTGTCGATTTCTGTTACACGAACGTGCGGGAATGAACGAACAAAAATCCACGACAGAAAGAGGGAGAGAAAGAGAGAGAGAGAGAGAGAGAGAGAGAGAGAGAGAGAGAGAGAGAGAACACGACGATCCTGTATCGGAATCGACGAAAAAGAAAAGTGAGAGGGTTTTCTTTTTGAACAGGAAGCTGCGCGTGACGAGGAGAAATAATAAAAAGGGGATCTTGAACGGGCTGAGTGTTCAACTCACTCGTTGCAGGGTGGACCAGCATTCCTCGAGGGTGCGCTCGCTGATGTTGCCCATTCCTCCGCCTCCGCCGGCACCTCCCGCACCACCAAGTCCCGCCGCAGAGGCACGAGACTATCGGGCAAGACAGGAGGCTCGTGTTAGTTTACTTGTCCATGGCCCTTTCCGCTAACCAACATTACTAAAAAATCGTTTTTCTACCAGTCACGAGACCTTAGCAGTCTCTCTGGTATTCCATTGTCGCGGATTTCTCGCAAAAATCCTTCTACTCGAACAAACAAATTGTAATCAAGCGCAGCGAATAACGTCGAAGCTACCGTCCGCGATTACGGAAACTGGGTTGGACTGTGGAAAATTTGCAGTGGAGAAAGTCGAGGCTCGCCATGTCTGTCTTCTTATAGTGCGATTCATTTCTCAAATGAATTCTTTCGTCAGCGTTCCGCGTTATTGTGTGCACGGAGGCTCCAGGTAGGGCCACTGGAACACGAGTATTTTAATCCCATACGTGGAAATGTCGAGTCTGCCCAGAATTAACGTTATTGTCAGTTAAACAAGGTATTTTTCATTTTTGTTGTTATTATAACATTATTAATCTGTTTTATCATACATGAAATGGTATCTACGTTTATGTAAATGTTCTCAATGAAAATTTAAATATTTCAGATTTATTTTGTGGAAAATTAATTTGAATTGTTACTTTGAAAATAAATTGCAAGGTCATGGGTTTAGACTACAATAGAAGGAAATATATCGAGAGGTACTGTTTGTTATTTATATTTTGGTAAATATGTATAACAATGTTTTACGATATTTTCAAACGTGTAGGAAAAGAGTATTCATCCTAATATCGTCATAAGATGAGAAAAAATACCTAGCAAATAAATACTGCAAGTTTGATATAAGGAATGAATGGTAAGAGGAAATAGCACAATTTCTTCATTCGTCAATTTTTAGATTGTCTATGAAAACTAGAGAGAAACATAGTTTGCTACTTATAACTATCTCAATCTATTTGTCTAACTTTTGACCATGGTGCTCTTAGAAGATAGCTAAAGAGTGCTTCTTTGTTCTACTGTCAAAGGTTCAATAGTATAATAAGAAAAGATGGCTAGTAGCATAACAAAAATGCTATAACTTTGACACTACTTGTTTCTGAGAAAAACTATCTGGTGAAAACAATGGATCGTAGCAGAAAGTTGCACACTTTTTTCCTCCATGAATTTGTAGGTAAGACACGTTCACGCCGACGCTGATATTTGTGTTTCTCGCCATGGGGCGGCGCGATGGTGCACTCCATCTAATAGACACACGAGCGTGAGCAACCGGTGGTGTACGCCGTCCGATGAACACGCCAGCGTGAACGTGTTGAATTGAAAAGTATCTTTTATTATTTATTACAGCAGTTATTTTAATGTGCTTATTTAACTTTTTTCCACGGAACGATAAAGAAAAGATACTTTGTTCTAGTATCATAGATTGAATGACATAATAAAGAAAAATGACTTGTACCAGCAAAGAAATGCTATTTACAAAGACAAATAAGAAGTATTGCATCATTGATCAATTCCAACAAGAAGCTCTACAACTTTATCTTCTTTATAGTTAAAGTATTATAGTTTAAGAGAAGAGACCCATCGAAAAGTAACTACCATAGTCTATTTATACAACTTTTTCCGCGATGCTTTAGCAAGGTAGAAATATGGCACTTGGTTCCAGCATCCAACACCGTAATAAGAAAAATGTCCGACGCCAGGAAACGAATAGTGCAGCTCTGGCCAGAAATCAATCGCAACAGGAAGTTGTGCAAGTTTTATCCTCTGCCAATTTCCGTTCCCCTATCCCAGTTTCCAGAATCACCCGGTACAGGAAATTCCGTCTGAAAACGAGTCGGATGGTCTCCGCGTAAAAAAAGGGAAAAAGAGGAATAAAAAGAAAACGTTCGGATTCCTATTAGCGGCGAGACCGAAGCAGATTCGCGGTGATATATTTACTTAGTTTCCTCGTATCGAAGCTCGCGGGACTGCGGCATCGCAGAAGCACGCCGCGATATTTTCTCGAGAACATCTTCTCGGCGTACCGTATGACGTATGCGTATAGTATTATCTGTGTTGCGCGGGTCAAGAACCCCGAGAGACGACGTATCTGCATCTCCTCGCATCGGTGTGCGTGGGCCGCGTTTGCATTTGTGGCCCCGTGACTCTAATGTGTGCGTGCCTGCCCGCCTGTTCGCCTGGCTTGCTCGCTCGCTCGCCGTGCTCCTCTCCGCGAGCGCTCTCTTTCTCACACTATCGCACTCCCGCTCGTTGTGGCCTACAAGCGTGTGCGAATACGTCTGTCGTGCGCGTGTTGCGAGCTACGCGACGCGGTAAGTCAACGTATTCCGATGTGCGTGAACCATGGTCAGTGTATCTCGGTACAGTCGCAGATTCAAACAATCAGCAAAATCGTCGACGATGCTCGATTCATCGAAAAATCGTCCAGCCGACGCCGACGCTTCCCTTGCGGAGTGCAGGGTCGCTATTTTTCTCCTGCGAGATCAACTAATCTAGAAAACAACTCCACCTAAAGGAACCGCAGATATGATGAACAGTCGCGTGGTCGCTATTTTTCTCCCGCGAGATCACTTAATTTGGAAAACCTAACAACTCCATCTAAAGGAACCGCAGATATGGTAAACAGTCGTGTTAGATTCGAGACGATACACGTCCTTATCTAATTTAATCGTAGATGCATTCGAGACCCTAATCGTCGAACTTCGTCTATGTAGAATACAATCGCGTCGCGTCGGAATTAGATCCGTGTTAGGCAAAAATTGTATGCAAGTTACGCGTAGAAATATTTGCAAACGAGCGAGCAGGAAGTGCCGCGTATTTTTCACCGTTAGCAGAAACTGTTTGAAAGTATTGTCCGGCGTCGGTCGGTCCAAGTGAACGACCCTATTTATCGGTGCATTATGCACTTTTATCGCGGTTGCCTCGTCCCAGTTTATTTATCTCTTCTCTCCGGGGCTACGGGCGAGTCTAACCGAGATCGAGAAAATAAAAGCGAGAAAGAAAAACAGATAGGGAAAAGCGTGTGCGACGAACGAATCGCGAACGCGTTCTCTCACCTGCAACTCGTTGACGAGTTTCTCCGTGAGGCTGGTGTCGTGAGAGTCCTGGCTGGTCGCGCCTGGGCTCAGCATCGAGTTCTGGGAGTTCTGCTGCTGGTTCGTTGACATGTTCATCCCGGCGAGACCGCCGTTCTGAGCGATGCTGCCCGCCATGTTCAGCGCCTGTTGTTGCAGATTCTGCGACAGGTTTTGCGCCTGTTGTTGAAGATTCTGCGACAGGTTCTGCGACAGATTCTGCGCCTGTTGTTGCAGCGCCTGCTGGCTGAGACTCTGCCCGAGGTTCTGGGAGAGATTTTGCGCCTGTTGCTGCAGCGTTTGCGACAGGTTCTGCGCTTGACTTTGGATGTTCTGTTGGAGATTCTGGTTGGCTTGGCTGAGGTTCTGCGGTTGATTTAACAGCTGCTGTTGTTGCTGCGGCGACAGGCTCGGCGTTAAACTTTGCGCGAGATTGTGCTGCAACGTCTGTCCTAGGTTCTGCTGCATGTTCTGCGTGAGCGCCTGAGTCAAGGCCTGTCCCAAGTTCTGGTTGAGGGCCTGAGCCGCTTGGACCGCTTGGACGGCCAGCGACGGACTCGACGCCTGGGACATAGACTGCTGTACCTGCGCCAAATTGTGTAGACTCTGAGCCATGCTGGACGCGATGGCATTCTGATGATCCGCCTGTGGTGACGGCGTGGTCGGTGCCGGAGAAGACTGATGCTGCGATCCCTGAGGCGTTTGTTGGCTCATGGACATCGCGTGCTGTTGTTGCTGCTGCATTTGTTGCTGCGGACTAGGCGTTTGGCCTAATCCAGTGTTAGCGGTCTGTTGTACCTGCGACACGCTCGTCTGCTGTTGCTGCTGCTGCTGCTGTTGTTGTTGTTGCTGCTGCTGTTGACCGAGCGGACTGTGCATCTGCTGCACTTGCTGCTGGTGCTGCTGGTGTTGCGTCGAGTTCGAGATAGGGCTGTGCTGTATCCCCGGCGAATGCTGGGGCGGCCCTCGTTGCGGCTGTTGCCAGTAGTCGGACATCTTGAAGACATGTTGTCGCAGCGCGTGAAGGTTCGCGGCCGCCGCGGTGACGGCCGACGTTTGGACCTCCATGGGTTCCGGCTCGTTTTCGAGGTCCGGTTCCGGCGTGCTGCAAGGATCTTCCTCTTCCTCCTCGTCTTCCCTCTCGGTGATGTCCTCGTCGTCTTCGTCGTGGATCCTAACCGGTCTGTCCGTCTCGGAACCGGTCGTTCCTCCTCCAGCAACACCAGCAACACCACCGCCACTTCCACCGCTGCCACTTCCGCCACCGCCACCGCCACCGCCACCGCCACCTCCACCGGCTCCACCGCCACCTCCTCCACCTCCTATCCCACCCCCCGAATCGCCAGAGTGGAGATGATTCCCGGGGTGATGCTGATGATGATGCTGCTGAAGGTGAAGGTGTGGACGCGACTCTGGATTTTGGCCCTGCTGCTGCTGATGTTGCTGCTGCGGTTGCTGATGCTGTTGCTGCTGCTGCTGCTGTTGTTGTTGCTGTTGCTGCTGCTGCTGATGGTGATGCTGTTGCTGGTGATGATCCAAGCCAAATTCGGGTTGGGCTTGTGTCTGGGCACGTAGGTCCAGGGCCGCCGTCGCGTCCGAAATTTTGAGGCCTTCGCGAGAAGCCCGGGCTACCCCCTTCCGGCGCAGCTTGCCCGCTTTTTCGCACCCCTTTTGGTAAGCAGCTCGACGGCCGGCACACTTCCGCGCTCGCCGCCGTTCCTTCCTATCTTTCTCCTCGCTGTATCGCGCGTTCCTTTAGCCCAGGATCGTCCTAAGGACAACGATCCTCGCTCGACTTGGGCGGCGGGCAACGTCAGTTACTCGCCACCTGCCTCGACTTCCCGGGCCTGCTGCTGCTTCCTCCCGCTACTTGGCTCATCAAACTCTTTCCCTCGGTACACCTCTGGTCTTGTTCGCGTGCCTCTTCTTCCCACTCTTCCCTCTCACCGAATCCTATTTATTCCTCGTATGTTTCGCGAACACCACCGATCAGTCGTTTGGTACGCGACCGATGGACCTTTCGCCTTCTACGATCTTCGAAACGTATTTCCCGTAACGCGATCGCGGATCTTTCAATCCGTCACTGATCCTGCGTCTCCGCGGTTCGGCGTTTCATACGCGTAGCACTCTTCTACGGCCTTCTTTTTCTTCAGCTCCTTCTTCTTACGGTCTGCATTTAATGTGTGTGCGTATGTGCGCGAGTGTGTGTGTGTGTGTTTGTGTGTGCGTGTATGTTGCGTTTCGTGTGCGATGCGCGCGCGAGCGGAAGTCCTCCGACACTGTGGAGAACACCCTATTTCTTTGTTCTATCTAACTTAAAGTCTATCGTACACTTAAGTTCAGGTTAAAATTCAGGATTGCCCAGCCCGGACGGTGTGAACGAGTAGGACAGTACGTGCGGATGCGAAACGCTGTCGGTCCAAGTCCGGTGTCGCGGCCTCTGTGCCTGCCGGGTGAGAAAATCGCACTCGCGGATGACACTGCTCGTCCCGTTTTGCCCTGAGTAGTTCGTAGCCCCGTTATGTCGATGTGCGTGTTGTATGTGCGTGGTGTGTGTTTGTGCGAACTCGCGAGCCCTTGTGGTTCGTTCGAAGCGTGGAAAACGACTCGCTCGTCCACCGTGTGTGATACGTCGTGTGCGATCTCTTCGTACCGGGACGGCAGTTCTCCGACTGCGGTGATTCCGCGTGTCACTCCGCTTGCACAGTGTGTCGAGGTTGCGATGCTGCTTCCGCCGCTGCTTCCTCTGTCTTCGCGACCCTTCTTCGTCCTGTTCCTCGCGTCCGTTCACGACTTCCCCTCGAAATGCGACTCTAGGGTATTTTTAACTCTTTAAAAGGAATTCTATTCGATTATCGATTAACCGCTCGTCATTACCGATATCGTCGATGGTAGTTGTGGTTGCTTCTTATTATCGTTTAGGTTTAATAATATTGCACTTAGGTACACTCGTTTTTTGAACACACTGAAATATATATGTATGCGGCGCGAGGTTCTTTCTAGCGAGCTCCTTCTTCTTCCTCTTTCTCTTCCTCTTCCTCTTCCTCTTCCTCTTCTTTCTTCTATCTCTTTCCTTTTCACTGTTGGTTCTTTCACTTGCTTCCTCTCCTTTGAATCTATCTCGATTTCGGACTCTTATCCTCGCGTCCTTCGCTCTCTCGCTTTCCCGTTCTCTCACCCTTCTGTCTTCGCTACTCCGAATCACTCTCGTCGCAACCCCGCTTCTACGCGTCTCGCTTTCGCTCTTCTTTTGCTCTTGTGTTCCTCCGCTTCTTCTGCTTTGCTCGTCTTATTCTGCTTCTTCCGCTTTGTCCAGTCTTCCTCTCCAGCGCGGGAATCTCTTGCTGCAATGCGTCTCCCGCTCGAAGCTGCAATTCAGAAAGAAAACTCTATTTTTATGCCGCTCGTTTATCACCACAGTCCACGTTCGACACTATTCTCACTACATCTTTCGTTACAACGCGCTAAAAGCATGCACCGGAATTTCAGCACGAACGGGTAACGACAGCCGCGGACTGATCGCGATCCTCGAATCGACATCTACTTCACGATTTACGGACACCTTTTTGCCACTCACTGTCAAAACTCAACTGAACTCCCAGCGACGCTAACTTTCGCGAGAATAAACGACAGATACGGACGAGAAAACGTTCGAAAACGGAAACGTGCATCGGAAAGGGGACAAGGATTTCCAAGGTTTCGAACATGTCGTCAAGGTTCGACGTTTTCGTTGATTTCACTGAGCGAGATGGAAGCTTTAGAAATTTTTGAACAACGCGACGGGAACACTCTCGACGGAGTCGAGATCTACACTTTTCAACTTTAAGAGTAATTTTACGATTCGGTTGCGTCGAGTCGCGGAAAATTGTCTCTTTAGAGTCGCACACCGACAGCACGTGAGCCGCGGATCGCTGTGCCGTCGCGTCAAAGTCCACCACTGCGAGAGAAAATTCGTTCGCGGGAGTCGAAGAAAGTTTGCGATGCGTTGCACTTGGAATTCGACGGATTGGAATATTAAAGACTTGGCTTTCTGAGAATTATCGCGAATTTTCAGTGGGTACACGGATGAGTCTGCGTCGAGAATATTTCTGTTGGAGATTTAGGGAAATATTCCCGACCGATTTTAGGGAAATATTCAGTGGTCGGATAAATCTAGTCGAATGCGAGGATCGTTCGACGAAACGGAGCTGCACGCGACGAAAGGTCTTTGAAGGCTTCCTTGAAGATTTTCGTCACGATCAACGAGAGTTCTTGTCTGTCGCGTGACTTCAAACCGACGCGAGTCCTTTAAACTGGACTCGAGGAAGCGGTAGAAAGGTTCCACGTCACCTTGCAAACGGTGATCCCCGTCATTGCAAACGGTTATCGTTCAGCATCGACGCGCGTTAGCCGTTGTACGAGTTCACGGTATCGCGATCTGCGAGAGTCGAGGCCTCGACGGATGCTCCGAAGAGCGAAGTAACCTCTGTCCCGCGATCTCGCGTTTATCCTTGGTTATTCCGTCGAGGCACTTCATTTCCGTTCTGGACGACGGGATTAAGAAAGGACCGAGCCGTCCGCGATCGCGACGAAACACTGGAGACGACGATGACTTGTACCGGGCATGTCGGAGTACCAGGATGGAGGGGATGGATCAGCGAAAGAGGGGAAAACTGTCGAAAATCGCGACGGAAAAAAAAGAAGAACGAGAGTCCACTATTCGTGCACAAGGACCGTCACTTTTGGTTAAAGTCCCGCGGAAGCACACAAAGTGTCGGAGCGCACAGAAACAATCTCGAGTTCGAAGACCGAAGGAAAATCCAAGATCCCTTACGTTCAGAGATCGGAATGTCTGTCGACGAAGAAAAGCGACAGGCGGATCGTGGAAGGCGACGATCGTACGTAAACACGCTCGGTCGGCTTCTCTTCTCGAAGTGTAACGTGCGAGGATGACGATGTTCCAGTATTCCGTAGATAGTCACGAAGACGGAGCACGAAGACGACGACGACGACGACAACGACAACGACGACAACGGCGCGTGCACGATCGAGGAAAAAGCTTTCTCCTCTTCCGCGTTCTCGAGTCCTTGACGGAGGAGGAACCGAAACTGACTCGGGTCTGCGGCTCGCGAGAAACGCTAAGTCCTTCTCCGTCGGCGGGGGCCGGTGGTGGCGCGCTTCTCAGACCGCGTGCGTCTGACTAAAAGCCACCCCCTCGTGCCTTAAAGAACGCGTGTTCGGGTAGGGGCGTTGTCTTAGGTGGTGCGCGGTCGCGAAATTTCTGGCTCGCTCCGGATGCCTTCGCCGGCTCGGTTTTCCGCCTAAGAGGCTCGCGAGCCGGGGTCCGCGAGTGCTGGGCCCCGGCTCGGGTCACCCTCGACCGACGTCCGACGTCCGACCCTTGGTCGGTCCTCCCACGGCCAAAATCTACCTTCGAGAGGACGAAAAACTGAGCCTGCCCTAGGACAGCAGTTTTCAAGCCACCCCTCTTTTCCTTCGCCCCCACCAACGGACTACGTCGAGGCGCGCGCTCTGTCTCCCCCTTTTCCTCGACACTCCGCCGCCCTTCCTCGCCCCGCGCACCCAAAGCTCCTTCTGCCGTCTCCACCGTGGGTGGGGGACTCTCCGACTCCGCCGACGTCTCGGTCGACGTCGGGGGTAGCCTTCCCAAGGGGTGAGAAAGATAGTAGGGGCTCTCTTTCTCCCTTGCCTGTGCTTCCGCTTTTTCTCCTTCCCGGTCCTCTCCGTGGAGCCTCTACTCTCCTTCTCTCGATCTCCTCTCCGTCCGCCGCGGAAGGGTGCAAGATCGTCCTTGTTCCTGTTTATGCTTCGACGCCGGACATAAACACTCGCGGACTTTTCGGACGACTGGATACCGCGAATCTTTGAAAATATCGGCACCCCCGACCGCGACTTGGAGTCTCGCCCACGTCGCGTCGGACTCCTTGCTTTCCGCGCTTCTCGTTAAAGTGAACGCGTGCGTGCGTGCGTGCGTGCGTGCATCGCGAACCGACGAATTCGACTGACCAAAAAATTCCCCTCGAGGATAAGGGGGTGTAGTCTGAGGTACGAATAAAAAGAAGGGGACCGTCGTATAAAAATGGCCTCCCTTCGAGCTCCGTATGGCCACACACGCGTGACTAACCAGAACGGGGAGTGGGACTTGTTTTTTATCCCTTCCCACTAGGTCGACCCTTCGAATTACTTTTTCCCCATCGATCACCATTCTGTCCAGCGCGATCGCATTCTTCTGTGGAACGATGTACTTAAGAACTGGAGAGTTTTCTTCGTACGAAAATATGGGTGAGATAGATTTTTGCGAAAAGAAAGTTTACCATGTTAATCCTCGAGGGTTGTTTTCGAGTTTCGAGATCTCGATCGGAAGATGGATCATCGACCTCGAGGACGTCGACTTTTCAACGGAGGTTCGTTTCATAGCCAAGGGTGGTCGATGGCCATCCTGCTCGTCTTACGCACCCTCCTCGTCAAATAGACAGCCCCTTCCCTTCTTCTCGGCCCCTCTCTGTTGCCGTCTAACGTGTCCACCCCACCACCGCGCGAGCTTTCCATCCCTCCTGGACACGGCCAACGTCTTTCCCCTCTGTTCGTTCCACCCTCCTTCTCTTTCATTTCCCAGCTATATATATCGTTTGCCACCGTACGAGCCACCCTCCAACCTCGAGGAGAGGTTTTCCCTTCCTTCAGCTCGGCTGCTTTCATCCCCACCGATTCGCCGCGCCGAGACCCCCACGCGCCGCTTTTTTACGCTGACCTCGTCTTTTTTTCCACGTGGCGTACACGTGGAAGTGTGAGTTCGGAGGGCGGAGAACCGTGTCGCTGTTTTTTTTCCAGCCTACCCCCACCCGACGCGCCGCTGTTCCGTCGCGTATACAGCATCCACCCTCCGATGCTACCTGCCACGGGCTCCACGCTTCAGGTGGACGCAACCGCCGCGAGAAAAGCAGCCCTCTGTCACCCTTACGGCCGACACGCGTCATCCTCAACCGAGTCATCCGTGAAAATCGCGATAGCTCGTCTCTTCCACGAGACTTTTCCTCTCCTTTTGCTATACCCTTCGCATCGGAGATGGCTCGTATGACAGATGGGAGGTTCTAATTGGTTGCTCCACGTTTACTTTCTCGCGTTCGTTTGCGTCACGTGTGGCCCAACGATGGATTTCTTTCCAAGTCCTTGTTGATATTTTGTTCACTTTTGAGGGGAAATTTGCATTTGTAAGCGACGTGGACTGCGAGGAAGCGGCTATATGCATAGAATGATAAATTCGCAGAAACGCAAGTACAATCTTAACAAGTTAACCTTTTATCTCGAATAGTCTATAAAAGATACACATTTCTTTGATTACTGGTGGAACACGAATTCGATTCATCAAATAGCCATTACACGTCTCGCTGAAAGTTTATCGACGTTGCGAACGAATCGCTGTAGGATAGATTTTATGCATCTATTGTTCGAGCGAATCTTCGTCTAGCTCTGGACCAGACATCGTTCAGAAATCGACGCAGGAATTTAAGTCGATACGCGGAGGGAAGATCGAAGAGCCTCGATAGAGTTTCGACACATGCCTCGATCTATCTGCCGGCCGAATCTGACAGATGTCCGTAACCGTACGAGCATTTTTCGACCATGCATCTGCATAAACACGCGAAACGGCGGCGCGGGGGAGTGCACGGAAAGAAGGGCCCCTGTACCACGATCACGATCGAACTTCCGGCCGCGACAGGCTGTTACCGTGGTAGGAATTCGCCAAGGAGAAAGTACACACGCGTAACTTTGATCTAACCTTGTATTCCTACAATGGAATATTCAATTTTACATCGATTACTCCGATCACATACGCGACAATTTCTCGACAACTCCCTCGCACCGTGCAAAACTTTGGAATTTCTGATATTTGTGGAATGAATAAAGTATTTGTTGAAGAAAGTAGATTTTTCTAGAATAAAGAATACATTATTCCAAAGATAAAAGCTTAGGATAAATTTTTTCATTTTGACAGTTTTGAACCTGGAGTTTTGAGACCGAATTTTATTTTGAATAATATTGTTGGTCAACTTTATAGGTATAAGTGGGTGTATTTATTTCCGTTTATTCTAATTAACGACTTTATAATGATATTTTTTAGAAACTAGTTGGGTGGATGTTCGATGAGTGAGACTGTTTCACAACTTAACTCAAAGAATGTGACATATACATATAAAAAAATGTTACGGCCAATAAATCAGCCCCCTCTTGCCATTCAATTTCATATAAGAAACTATTTTCGTATCTTTAATAGGTTACGAAATAATCGGCTGTCCAGGATTTCGTGGGACATACTGTATGTGTGAAAATACGTTATTCGTCCAAAACGATTAACTTTACTCCGTCGTATACGCGTAAGTTACGAGAGGATTAATCCAAGTTTTTCATTAGCCTCCTGACGTACGAAGTACTTCATTTTCAAATACGAGTAAAGAAGTGTGTAGCATCGTTTAACGATGACAAAGTTTCCCTAAGAAAAAAAGTATTCTTGTCACGAATTCTTTACGTGGAAAAATGAACAGTTTCGACTAATCGTATCGGTTTGGCGCGATACTATAAATTCTTGTAGAAAAAAGTAAAAAAGTTTAATCGCGAATCCAATTTTCTGTTCGTTTACCCGACGCACGCCTCTCGACTCGCGTAAAATTCGAAGAAAGAAGCGACGGTCGTCGAAATTTTCCCCTAGAATTAATCCATATACGAATTGGTCCACCAATAAAGGGCTTTTTCTGATTTGTATGGACTGGGTATCCTATTCATCGACTCTCCGTTTACGGGCGGATGAAGCCTATCTACGATCAAATGACCAGGTACACCGAGTTACCCGAGGTTATTTTTCGAGTAGGCCGGCAACTTTTACGACGGGGAAAATACGCACGAATTTATGGACTGGGGCGATAAGTGCGCGGGATGGGCAAAGAAGGGACGGGTGGGGAGAGGAGGCGCATTGGGCAATCGAGGCTCGTTTTAAATTACAAATGAACCGGCAGGGTGAAAACAGGTGAGAGCCGAGGCTTCTTCGCGAAGGGTGGGTGGATCGCGAACTGCATGCGCGCATATGCACCGGGCGGCATTCGCACGGTGAACGGGAACGGGAACGAGAACGGGAACGGCCAATTGCAGCTATGTACGTGCACACGTTCATGTAGCATTTTAGATCCCAATCCCGATCCCGATTCCCCCGATCCCGATCGGCAGCTGGAACCTCAACGGAACCAACCGACACAGAAAGAGAAGAGAATCGAGTCGAGCCGAGTCGGTGCACACGACGTGCACGTGCACTTGCATCTTGGCGGCCAGTTGCGCCGCGACGCGACTCGCCGTCTCTCTCGCTCTGTGAATCGACTCGATCGACTACCCTGATAGAACGGACGGCTCTGCGTAGGAAGACATTTGTCTTCTGGCCCTGATCTTGCCTTCTTTCTTTCGATTGTCCGCCTTCTCGACCGAAATGAGACCCCGAGACCCCCCCCCCCCTCTCTCTCTCTCTCGCTCCATCCAACCGTATCCGACTATTTTCTCGATACTCTTCGAACATTTCTGCGGATCGTGACTCGCCACTGCTTCTTGGACGTGCAATTTTCCTACTCCTTTTCTTTTTGCAAAGGAAGAATCGAACTACTGTAAATCTATCTACTCTTTCAATAGTTTTATCATATTAGATTGTCCCAAATGTTTCTTTTACGACTTGCACTCGGTGTTTATGTAAATAGACAACCTTATCGCTCAGAAATTGACGTTACACACGGTGTCCCGTAGCGGGTGGTAGAAGCAAGTAAAGGGTGATTTTTCGTGAAAAATTGAATAGAAAATGTACAACAAATTTTCTTCATATGACGTTTTATTTTCGAAAAGAATACATTGAAAATTTGTCGAGTACGCGTGTACTTGATTTAATTTCAATTCGACGGATTTTACTATCTTACTTCTGTACGTCTTGCAATGTTTACTAACATTGTCAACATGATGATATCTCTTACATCGATTTTACTTTCTTGTTATGCTTATGATCTACAATGAAATCTATCGAACTGAAACTAAATCAAGTACACGCGTACTCGGCAAATTTTCAAATATATTCTTTTCGAAGATAAAGCGTCATATGAACAAATTTCATTCTACGTTTTCTATTCAATTTTTTTTATGTAGAATCACCCCTTACTCGCTTGTACCGCCAGTTACGGGACACCCTGTATAGTTAATAAAGGAAAATATTAGATTGCCCGAAAAGTTTCGTTCGCTTTATTAATAAATAATACATGTACAATAGTTTATGTTTTATGTTACATTACTGAATTGTGCACGATTCATTTTGCTCCATTATTATTACAACATGAATATCTATGAAATTAGATTGTCTATTTATAGAAACACGACCACATAAAATAATTGAGTGCAACTCGCGAAAGAAACTTTCGGGACAACCTAATAGCTCGTACACAATTCCAGTAATGTGACATGAAACATAACGCATTGCGTATGTATTACTTATTAACCCTTTAGCCTGTAACTACTTGTGAGACACTTGATCAAAAATTCGAGCCGAACACGAAAAACACGAGTCGAACAAGTCGTATGAAAGTGCGCAGAAATGTTATACCTGATTATAGCACGCCTAAAGTAAATTGTAGGGCAAGAGGTTAATAAATCTATGAGGTTTCGAATGTTTTGGAAGAATAGTACAGAGAAGGCGAAGTAATCTCGTCGAAGGCGATGAAAAATTAGTCTCCAACATCCATGAGCTGCAACTTCGACGACGACTGACATTGAACCATGTGTTCGACGATGTTGTCGTAGCCATCAATCTTTCTTTTTTAATTCAAGAGCTTCATAGGTCTGAGTTAGGTCTACTCTGTGCTGCTCCTCGTACTTAATATCTTCGAGTTAGAGTGTCCTTTAAGAATCTCACGAACAATAGTACGAATAAACTATGATTAACGACGATATCTGTGATTTAAGTAGAACAAACGAAACAGGCCTGTCATCGAGGGTGCTGAAAACATTTAACACAGAAACTCGCAACTTAACGATAGAACTTTCAATTAGACGTTATTCCAAAGATCAACTCTTACATGGAATTCTTTGACTTGACAGTTTAGAACCTAGTTTTAAATTGAATAATATTATCGTTTAACTTTATAGGTACACGTATTTTTGTACATTTCAGTTAATGACTTTAGATTCGCTTAATAAAAGAGAACGTTTCCAGTATGTAACGGTTAAGGATAACGAGAAGGTGAACACTGTTGATGATTTCGATCCAATGGAAGCTAAGATTACAATCAGGATTAAATTCCAGAAGGACGATCGTGAAATGAATTGCACTATATATGATTTAGGTGCACTAAGGAAGAATTTGTTTTTTCGAACGTGAGGTAGATCGGACAGTTAGTTTTCTAGGACCAAGGAGATATTCGACTACATGAATACATCTTCCCATTCCAAATCTCACAATTATCGTTTAATCACGTGGTCCTTTTCTTCGATTGTCCTTTTTCTGTAACCACTCTCTCTCTCTATCCAGACTTTCTAGACTATCCCCTCGCCACTCTTCGAACACTCGTCTAGATCATGATCGGCTCCGATCGCACGCTTCCTGCCGAGTGAATAGAATTTTCTCAGACTTCCGTGGAGGTCGAAACACGACTTCATATTATATCGAAGAGAAGACAAGGTTT